ATTTATTGAATCATAAAATGCTATTATACTTGGTTCTCTCAAAATTTCTTTCATTTTATTTTGTATAGTTAAATAAGTCACAGCTAATCCTTTCTTTCGTTGCTCTATAATCCAGTTGTATAATACTTTTTCAGCTTCAGGATATAGGGCTTTTCGATCAGAACCAATTTTTTTTCTTTTATCGTTAATTCTAATTATCCAATTCACACTTGCTTTAACCCAATGTCCAACCATGCTGACATTAAGGTTAAAGTGATTTGCTGTTACAGTTTTGCCATGTTTTTTTGCATAATTAATAACTTCTCTTTTCGTTTTAATAGAATAAGAAGTTTGTTTAACCTTCTTATGTTTAACAGCTTTTTGTGGCATTATCTGTCCTTATGAAAATAGCGTGAAAATTATGCAGGTTTAATGAGGAGATAATTATCATCTTGTATAATGTTTATACAATAGATCAGATGATCATTAGATAAAAATTTAGTATAGTTTAATAAAAATAAGCTGTAGATTTCGAAAAAAAAAAATTGTACCCGAAAATAAGCAACTTTATAATTAAAAAAGTTGCTTATTTTTGGGTAAATACAGTATTTTAAAAAAACAAAATAAAAAAATGTGTTTATATAGTAAATGAAAACTATATAATAAGTAGAATTTATAAGATGAAAGTTAAGAGTAAAATGATAAAAAATTTTTTTTTTTTGTGAAATTCAAAAACACTTATTTTTAATAAAACTTATTTAATTTTTATTAAATAGTTATATTTAATTTATTATAAAAGGAATAAAATTATGGATCATGTTATTAATATTTTAAAATTTATTAAATAATTGTAAACAGATCTACATAGGATTAATCTACTAAACAATCTATAAATTATACTACATGTTACATTAAAGATGTTGATATTATTAATATAAGATATATTTAATATATTTAATTTTTTAATATATTTAAAATATTTAATATAATTTACTTATTTCATATAATTAATTTGTTATTATTAAAGATTTAAAGATGGTACAGCAATTGATTTCAAATTTACAAAATGTTGTAACATAAGCTAAAATTAGTTGCAACATATATAGGTTAAAACTAATTGTAATGTAAGTTGCAACATTAAAAGTTGCAACATATTAATTACAGTTCCCATCTTTAGTTATTATATATATTTTTAAATATATAAATACAGTAGTTTAAAACTTGTAACAAAAAGTAGAATTTGATAGGTTGTATATAAAATACAATTTTCAAAACATTTATCTTTTCTTATTTCTTTTATTTGTTTACTTTTCTTATAAACTCTTTTTTACTTTTATATTATTAAATAATACAAATCTTATTAATATTACAAATCTTTGTGAGTTTTAGTGATATTACAAATCTTTGTGAGTTTTAATGATATTACAAATCTTTATGAATAAAGTTGTTAAATAAAATTTAAAGTTTAGATAGATATTTAAATAGGTAAAGATAAAACTTGATTAAATTATATTAAAGTTTTATTAAAAAATTTGTACTGCGAAATTCAAAAAAGGTAAACTTATATCAAAGTTTATAAAAATAATGAAATTATATCAAACACTTAGTAAATTTAGTGAAATAAAGGTTTAAATATTTAGTCAAATCAAAAAAAACTGCAACCTTATTTGTAAGTCTTAATGATATATAATTATTATGAATCTTAATGACATATAAATCTAAGTGAATCTTTGTAATTTTATAAAAATTCTTAAATAACATTGGTTATAAGTTTTAAAAACAGATTTTTAGAAGTAAATTATTATGTAAATTAAAAAGAGTCAATATCTAAACATCTGTTTAATTATAACGATCTATTAAAATCATATATCAACGATAATATTAGTATTTTTCTTAAAATATTTATTATTAAAATTTGATTAACTTACTTAAAAATTTTTTTATATCAATATAATATAATAATATTGGTATAAAATAGTCATATACTAAGCTTAGAGTTTATAATTGAAAAATTATAACTTTATTTATTAACTTAATAAAATTATAAGTCATAAAACAAATTGTTTAACAATATAAAAATTTTTAAGTTATAATTGAAAATTTGTTTAGTAGAATTAAAAAAATTTGCTTATTGATTATAGTAAAAAAATTTTGATTTTGTTATAACTTTTATATATATTATTTAGATCTTATATTATCTTTTAAATAAAAATATAAGCTTAACTTCTTATATGATTGAAGTAATCCATCTATTCTAATTTGTTAGTTACATTAATGATTAGGTACCTATATAAAAAAACTACTCAAAATACATACAGTATTTTTTACTAATCTAGTAAAAATCTAATAGCAGTATCTGAGATGATGTTTTAATAAGTTACTTTATTATATTAGTGGTAATAAGAGATTTATAGATAGGAATACTAGTTTAAATTATATTGGTTTCTTATGTCTTTTACTAAAGATTCACTATAATCACTATTCAAAAAAATTATATCTTTATTGATTATATTGGTGCTTTGCAGTAAAAGGAAGAAGTTCTAATAAAAGTTTTTTTTTTGAGTTAATGTTAAATCTGAACTTATTTTATTAAAATATCATATTTAGCTTATAAATTAAAATTTTAATTTTTTTGTAATTTCCTCATTTTTTACTGCAAAGCTCCCATATAACAAATAATTCTCATAACTATAATTTAAAAATATTTAATTATGTATTATTACAAATTACAAAATAAATGTAATAATGGACTTTTTTTTTCAACAAAAAAAAAAGTTAAAAATGATTTCTCAAATCATTTTTTGTAGATAATTGCCATCCAATTGAATCAAATTGAAATATTATAGAGTAGATACTCCTCAATAATATATAAAATTTAATGCAATTTGAATTATTTTACTCGATTACTAATGATATTTTTTTTTAAATCAAATTTTTGAGTAACGTTAAATTCAGTTGCTTGGCATTTATAATGTTTGAATCAAGCAGTTTTGTTGTCAGTATACAGTTTGTGATCTAAAATTTTTCGCTTCTTTAAGCTAAGCTAACAACTCGATTCGAGTGCAGAAATGCAGGCAGGTAAGACTGGCAGTAATCTTGAAATCATACAAATAACGAAAACCGATCAAATCTTTACTATACAAACAATTCTCAATGCACCAATAAAACAAAAACACTAATTTGTTATTTTTAATTCATTACTAGAATATACAAAATGTATCCCATTCAGATTAACTAAATGGAAATAAATATAATAATAACTCGGCTAGTTTTTCGATCTACAAAAAGTTTTTCGGATGGTTTCGGATTAAAGAAGTTCACTGGTGCGGAATGCTTCATACACGACTAGAGTAATTCTCTTATGAATAAAATTACATCACGATTCACAAAAATGTCGGGGAAATTTGGTATCTCGAAAAAATATAATTTTATGCTGCGCATGCTTAACATTGTCCCATGAAGTTCCCGATCCCCGATATCATTAAAAATTTTATAAAAGTTTAACGATCGATTTATTCGCTTAACGATATTAAGACTTAGTATAAGTTCACTATTTAAATAAAGATTAAATGCATATAACGCCTTCGTTCGGTTCGTCGCAGATTAGCAAAAAAAAATTTTTTTTTTTCAATCCTTTAAACATGTGAACAAATATAATATGTAAATCATGGCGTGTGACATATTCATGTAATGTAAATTTATCGTAGATTTACCCCAGTTTGAATCGAAATCTGCAAATAAGGGATTAAGTGTAACGCATCAAATAATGTCACGCGACACTTATCATCATATCTAATTTAAAAAAAAAAAAGTGACGAGAGTATTGAAAAATCAAGAAATTACTAAAAATATCTGATTTCTCAACTCAACCATTTTCCCGGATGTTGGTATGAGCCAGGTGAAGGATAACTAAATTAGTGAACAATGGATTTCGCGTGACATTTAACAAAGCAACCAATTTTAAGAAGTACGAAACTTTTGTTGAAATGATCCAGTAATTCAAATTATAACCTAATGTCAAAAGGTTCTTTGACCATAAATAAATGAGCAGATCTCGTGTTATCATATCAGTTTATCTCGTTTTTACACCAAATTTCTTTTATGTGTGGATTTATCACATGTGCATTTGTGTATTGGATAGGATCGTACGAAATCTGGTTTTTCCTAATCGGATACTAAAATACTGAGATAACAAATTAACAAATGCACAACAAAAATTTTTGATAACCACAAGGAAATATGGTTGGTTTAAACTTATTTTTACTTAGGTACATAAAAAATACAATACATAAAATTCTTGGGATACATAAATTACATATAATACCAGCACCACCCTTATAAATAAATCTTTAAAAAAAAAAAGAAATGGAGTCCGCCAACCCAAAAGACCTTAAGTTTTAAAACACCACAACCTCGAGGCAGAAGAATGGAAAATTCTTGTGCCTCTTTATGGTTTTCGATCATTCCTATCTGACTTAATTTTTTGTTGTTTTCCTTCTTTTTGATTCAACTCCTTTCTGTTTTTCGTTTTTGTTTTTTTTTTCTTTTTTTTTTTGTTGTTTTTTAAAAAAAAAATCCTTAATCATATACGTAAGACCTACCCTGTTTGTTATAATAAAATTAATCACATTTCAATATTATAAATAAAAAAAAAAGCTAATCGATTTCGCTTTTTTACGAATTTTTTTTGGTAAGCCATTCGTAGTTGGCATTCGATTCAAACATTAATGGAATCCGCTCCTCATCGTATAAATAAAAAATAAAATAAATAAAAAAAATAAAGTACGAATCTTTTTTTTTTTTTTAAAGAAAAGGTAAAAAAAAAAAAAGGAACGAAATTTTGATATCATGAATATGATATAATAGATTTGTTGTTGTTGTTGGGGGGGGGGGGGGGGGGGAATAAGAATAAAATAATATCGGAAGTTGTAATGATCATTAATATTATTTCTACATTTGCTAATAAGAAAATTTTTGTATTTCAGCTCAAGTAATTTCAACGATCTCGACCACCATCGCAGTTACCACATCTCATTTACGTTTGTTGCCACTTCCTCCAACAAACAAAATGTCTGACCGTCTGGTGAAGAAGTAGTTCGCGTGGTCGTGAACGATTCATCGAATGATTGATGATAATGTTGTGAGAATTTGCATGGAATCCGATTTTCAACAACAGTTTGATCTTTCATGGTCACATGTTCGACAGCAACTAGGACCTGGCATGTGTTGTGCCGTGCTGATGGCAAGTGCTCTTGTACTTTGATCGATACGTTTACGAATAGTGGGAACTTTAAAATTTAAAAAAAAAAAAATTTTTTTTGGTAAGATTATATTATAATTATGATTTTTCGTTTCCTTTTCCTTTTCAATGATAAATCTTGACAACAAACAAAAATAATTTCGATCACTATCTTATATATTTCTTTGCAAAACGCGCATTTTAATTCTTTGTAATTGTATCGAATATCTAAACACAAACAATAAATAAATAAATAAATAAATGAATATTAATATCTAACCTGTTGAAAGAATCGTTCATAGTTTGGCGCCATTACAATCTCGTCCCCAATCATGTGTAATGAATAAACATGTCCAGCTCGAATATTTATAAGAACTTTGGCCATGCCGTTTAACGCAGAAGCAACTAATGAAAAATACAAAAATTGAATTAAGAAAAAATTGTACGTGATCATAATCAATATATATATATATTTTTTTTATTTTGTTTTTGAAAAAAAGAATAATAAGAGGAAAAAGAAAAAAACTTAAGTTTGATTCAATATCTATTTAAATGCCTTGGACATTAATTGAATGAATTTCTGAAGAAGAAATGAAAAGAAAAAAAAAAAATAGGAAATATTACGCATGAGGGCTCACGCGCGAACTATATGCTAATATAAATTTAAATATAGAAACGGTGAAATTCAACTTACCCTCTCTTATCTTGAATATTATGCTTTCAGCGGAAGTCTGGGGGGACTCCTCTAAAATGGGAATTGTTTCGCCAGTATGCGACAATTTTTCTGTTAACCACCATTCCACAATGTGAGCAATGTTTTGTGAGGCCGGTTGAATATGGTTGCCGCGATGAGGTACCTAATAATTCATGAAAATTTTAAAAAAGGAAAAAAACTTTTGTCAGAAATTGATACTTGAGGAAAAAAAATAGAGAAAATTTTTTTATGGGTTGCTGCGCCACAACAAAGATTAATAAATTTTGTGAACGAAAGGAATAAGATATAATACATATATATATATATATATATAGTAGAACATAAAGTAATAAATAAATATTTACCGCATACGCATCCGCACCATTAAAGTAACAAATTTTCTGAAAACTGGCGACGAACCCATCGTTTTCATCTTGTAATAGTTCGTCAATGAAGGTCGAAATATAGGGATCGCTGACGGTCGTCTCAAAATTTGATGGGGTAACGTATAATTCGTTCGTGGAATCTTCATAATCTAGGTCATCGTTCTCCCCTTCAGTTGAAACAACTTCTTTGCAGGCAGGAGTATCATGAGAGGAATTGTATTCTTGGCTCTCGTGGAGCATATCGATATCAAGGATTGGTAACATAAGGTCTGTGATGTCTGTGATAAAGCGGGAGGGGAAAAAAAAATGAGTGCAAAGTTAAATGACATGTTGCCATATATTACCATAAATGGATTGTTTAAAAGGTGGGGAGGCAAACAAACAAAAGAACAAATCGAGAATAAGGCGTAACAAAGATAAGAGATAACAAGAGATAAGAAATCTAATAAATATTATCTAAATAATACAAATGAATTAATTATGCACAAACTAATATTACTCAAAAGATAAGCGGGTATTTATCAAAAAAGAAAGGGACCAAAAAAAAAATAATAAGGAAAAATGGGAAATTTTTTTTATTGTTTCTTACTTGTTGGTGGTCTTTGATTGATTTGACTGAGGGAAAGCTGTTGGAAATATGTTAAAAGAGAATGTTCCATCTTTATAATGAATGGGTTTGTTTCTTTTGATTCAATAAATCTAGGTATTAAGAATTTGATCAAAAGTCGTAATGGCCAAAAAGGTAGAAATCGAGGGGTGTAATTGAGGATTTTGTGGAAATTGATGTTAATATATAGATGTTTTCGTGAAAAAAAAGTAAGTTTGTGGGTTGATGTGAAAAAGAATATTTGGCCTTTGTTTGTAAAGGTATAATTTTTTGTGCCTCTTATAAGAGAATTGGGTAGGAGATTTTCGGTGAAAAATTAATTATTAATATTATTAATTATAATATAAATTAAAGGGTGTATAACATGAAAAATAACAAGAAGGTGAGGCCGCAGAAAAAGCAAAAGAAAAGAGGAATGGGTAGGAGATGAAGCGAGGGATCATATATTCATTAAAAAAAAAAAAAAAAAATCTAAAAATTTTTGGTCTAACGCCAAAAAAGATCTTGGTGTAATTCGTAATGTAAAGGGAAAGTATCATCGGAGAGGAAAGGAAAAAAAAAACTAGTGTTACTACTGCAGTATGAAATAAATATATTGAAGATGCATATAAGTATATAAAAAAGGTTAACTTTATAAATTATAATAAGACTACTTTATCACACATAAATAATTATCAGATTTTTTTATCTGGTTAATTTTATTTGTTATTTGACTATTTTATTTTATAGTTTTATTGATAATTTGGTTATCAAAAATGTAAGATAATAATTTTTTTTTTTTTATCTTGATTGATGAATGAAGTAAATATATGTATATATATATATTATATAATAATCATATACAGTATATATATATAAAATAAAATAATATCATATGGTAACAAGTGTACATATTACTTTTGTTGGATAATTTTCTATTTTAGGTACTCGGGTTCGCGGGGATACTTATTTCTCACGCGGCACTATTGGCTGATCAATATGATTTCACCAGTTTCAAATCCCGTTTTTTCTCAATCCCACACATTCCCTAAAGAATCAAAAATGAGAAAAAAAAAAAAAATTTTTTTTTTGTTATTAACGTCCGCCATTTTCTCTTAATGCATAAGGCCTTTTGAACTTACCTAAGAAATTTTAGCATTTTTTGGAACTTGACCATAGCGCAAAGTAATCTGTCATTTACCGTAAATATCAACGTAAAACGCCAAACAAAATTTTTTACACAATATGAAACAAAAAAAGAACAATTTTTTGACGCGGCTTTCACCAGACGTAGCGGAAGGATGACCGATTCACTGATGCCATTCACCCATAAAATATCAACATATCTGTTGTGTATTTAACATATCAAGAACATTCCGCTTCCGATATTTAGTAAATATTTGTGAAAAAAATTGAGGAGGACATTGCTTTTATCGTACCTTGTTTGTATACCTCCAGTCTATTAATATCTAGATTTGGAAGTTACAGAACAATAATTATGTCATGTACCTACCTAAGATTTATTTGGTCGATCGCAAAGTTTAGAAACTCGAAGGAAAAGGGAAGGCGAATTGTGGGGGGAGCGAATGCTAACGCAATCCGGTCAATTGGCGTTAATAAAATTTAAAATAATAAACAATAATGGATTTCATAATAAAAAGAGAAAAAAAAGATAAGAATCATTTTGGTCATCAGCTTTTTACAGTATGACCCCCTAAAAATTTATACATGACGCGTATCTTGTTGTACGATTGTGCTTTGGCAAAACAAGATTTTGACGGCTGTCTTTTAATTTTAATTTTAATCTATTTTAATATCCTTTTTTTTTCCTTCCTTTAACTGGATCCAGAAATCATGAGACGAATTCTATCAAGAGTATTTAATTCGTTTGGAACGGTGATTTATTTATGTGTGGTCTCAAAAAAAAGTAAGAGAATAATTTGCGTATCCAAATAATCCGAGTAATTTAATAAGTGATAAAAAAACGTGCCATCAGAGATAAGATTAGATGATTCATTATTAGCCTGTCAAACCAAACCCAAAAGGATTGCGTGCATTTTTTTTTTATCTAAAAATAAAAATCACATCAGTCCTTAAATTAAATAATAATTTAAGAGATGGGGAAAAAGGTCACTAGTATATTTCAAGTAATTTCTAATGTAGGGAAAATTGTAAAGTTGTACACTTATATGTGATGTATATATAAATGGCGTAAATATTAAATGTATTAATGAAAAAAAAAAGCCTCTTGTCTAAAAATCATGCATCAGGTAATAAGATAAGATTAGATGAAACAAGATTGACCAACGAAAAAACGACAGCTTGACGTGATCATGTCTATTCAAGCTGTGTGCAAAAATCGACAAATTAGATTGGCCATCACAAGAATCCTTTGGTTAAAAGTCATCGTCCCCCGACCCATCGAATATGCATTCAAGATGTGGACACATCTGCTATTAAAGCAAATTGGAAGGAATCCAAGTCGATCTCATAAATTGACACATTATATTTCAACCAAAAAAAAAGCAAAAAAAATTTATTTTGATTTCCCCATGTCCTTGCTTCTTTTAAAAGTAAAAGATGTTCAAATTTTTAATTTTTCTTCTTTTCACCTACTTTCGATCGATTTAATGCAACGATTATATGATTCCAACTGAAAAAAAAAAACTTATTTTTAGATGATGAACAAAATGAAAAATGGTTCATGTTTAATGATATTCTTTTTTTTTTCCCTCTTTGCAACTCATATTAACCTTTGAAAAACGCACCACCTAACAAAAAAAAAAAATTTTTTTTTCCCAATTGAGGACATCTTCAATTTGAAGAATACAGTTTTTTTTTTTTAAAAAAAAAAAAAAAAAAAAAAAAAGAGTAACAAGATTCATTCCTATTGTTTACTCACTTGTGGTTAATAAAATACTATTCACAGGAATTATGTTGTGAATGGGAATAATCATAACAACTATAAATTTTCCATAATGATGATAATATTTCACAATTTGGTATGTTTGATCTTCCAAAAGGATACGAATTCTCGTATGTTCCCAGACCAAAAAAAAAAAAAAAAATGAAAAATATCATGATTAAATATGATTCAATTATTCTAAACGAAAATTTATGTGCTTCTCGACACATGCCCCATCACTTGTAAACGACCAAAAATGAAATTAAATATGATCATTGATCCGCATAATTCATTAGATATGGAAATGTATAGTAAAGAAACAAATAACTCATAAATGGAAATCGGAAACGTTCACAGCCATATTTTTTTACCCACCCCCCAAGAGTGGGGCATTCCAAATAAGATTAGCTTTTCAATTCTTTTTAAACAATGATGTACTAATTAGGAAAATATAAGATAAATTTTTTTTAAAGAATTTGATTCCAAAGAGAAATCTGTTGATCTTTAACAACTTTTGGAAGTAATAAAACGTGAAATGCTACTTGATATTGATTGGCTGTATATCGAACCCCGCAGCAATTTCAGCTATTCCTCGAGATTCTTTTTCTTTATTTATTTTTTTTCGTCCGTGCATGTATAATTTTTTAATTAACAATAAAAAAAAAAGGTAAATAAGAATAAACTTTGCTTTTCGTGCAACAACCCATAATTGTTCCAAATGCTGTAACTATTACAAATTTTTTTTTTTGGTTTCTTTTTATATTACTAACCTTTCTTTTGGGCTAATTTTTGAACCGGGTGAATTCATTGATTTTTGATGGCGTTGCCATTTTACATAATTCCTACTAATAATTGGTGTTCATTTTGTTTACTAGCCATATTATTTCTCAATCTTCCCATTGTTCCTTTTTTTCAATTTACTATGTGATTATTTGTGTAATTGTTATATCAGATTCTCTTTATCGGTACATTCTCGCCTTCTTCATCCCTCAATTTTTTAACTTTGCTCCTTTAAAGACATTCTCTAATACGTGGGAGAAAATAATATATGCGTTAAAATATGATTGAATGAATACTTCAATTGTGGGAATTTACGGAGAATTATGAACACAATTCTCACGATGAATTAAAAATCAAAGAAAAAACTGTGCGCATATAACATTACTAAGACTAATACAATAATTACATTTAATAATAAACTAAATAAAGTGATTATAGCCAATAGTTCAAAGTTTCTTATTAACGATCCGAAATGAACCCTTTTCTTCTCGGTGTTTTGCATCGTAAAAAAACACAAATAAAAAAGCAAGAACAATAAATTAACATTTGGTATTGTTGTAAATTATATCATCGAAAAAAATTATTTGAACTTTATAGTTGAAATATTACATTATTGTTTGTGTAAAAGATGTAAGAGATAAAATCTGATTGCATGAGATATGATAACTGAAAATTTTTTAATAGCAGATTATCTTACATTAAAGCTTCGTATAAAAAAAAAAAGTACGAATTCAAGAATATTCTTGAATTATCTATAAAGGGTATATTTATAAAATATTTCCTAACTTTGATTTAGTCAAATTTTTTTTTTTTAATAGTATAATAGGAAACTATTAAAAGGTTATTTCTTTTTTGTTTGGTAAACATGTTTTTAAGCTGTTGTATAAATAAATAATTTAAAAAAAAAAATTTTTTTACATCATTGTACTGCGCCATGGTTATGGTATGAATAAAAACGTTCCTTTCTTGAATAATGATTTTTTTTCTTATGTGTGAACAGTTTACTATCTTGTCATTCTCATTACCAAATCTTTTCAAATCCATTTCAATGTGGATTCTTTATCACCGCCCAATATGTTTGAGTCACCTGGAAGCTGCATCATCAAGTATAATATGACAGGTCTGCTATTGTTCGGACGGATTACTTCGCTACTTAGCGAACTGTTGATTATATTGGCCCAATTATGTAGTATAAGGAGGATGATTCTCTGTGAAGAAAAAAAGTTGTAAGAACAAACCATGCCAAATGATGTCTTTGGTAGCAAATTTACCAGCGAATATTTTAATGTATCAAATGGGTGACCAATTATTGAAAAGAATAACTATTTATACTTACTTTTGCAACGGGGAACAATCTTTTATTTTAAAAAATGGCAATTTTTTAAGCAAAATTCGTAATGAGTTTTAGCACATTCTACTAGTATAAAGAATAATAATAGTAATAAAAAAAAGTTATCCCGTTAATAAATTATTTATATACAATATAATATATTTACAGAATTTTTGAACATTAGATTATTGGTCCGAGTTCTTTAACAGAATTATTGTAATATTTTTAATTGTTACTTGAAATTTCGAATTTCAGGATTTTATTAATCAAAGTATCCTTGTTATAAATATTGTTGTGCAAAAGAAGTCTAAAAGAAAAAAAGGAGCGGAAAGAAAAATATCGTTTAAATTATCTTATGAAGATAAATTATATTCACGTTGCCTTAACTGTTTATTTTATTAACCTGTGACAATGCGCCAATTCTGAAGTTATCATTTCAACGTCATTACGAAAGATCGTTCAACATCATATATACATATTTAAAACCAAAAGTCTGATTATATAACGATAATATGTGTCATTGAGCTCTAGATCATCTAGATCTTATTTTATTTTTTTTTATTACCTTATTTCATGACGTAAGGTGCATAAATTCTGCCCGAAATTTCAGATTGAGATATCGTCAAAACTTTGGGCAGATGATAATTTGAGAAGTAACTAAACCATGATAATAATAAAATTGCTATATTCTTACTAATTATTTACTTTTTATTAAGTTCAAATCTTAATTTAAAGTTGACGATTTTGCATTTCATTTTATTATTAAAAAAAAAAAAAAATAACTAATATTATTATTATACTGAACTTTATAAGTTCACTCTTTATAAATCCCATGCACTAAGTAAATTCTTCTAAATAAACAATTGTGAAAAGATTATAATAAAGGGCATTTATAGAGAGTCTAAATTAAAAATTAGAAGTCAGATTTCAATTAATTCCAGTTATTATTAAAGATTAATCAAAGATAGAATTTTAAATTTATTAAGAGCTTAATATAAATTTTAAATTTATAAAGTAGACAAATCTTTTAAATTATCAGTTTATTATTATTATTATAAAGAATTTTGCTAACTTTCTCCTCAGGAGATATCACCTAGGAGATGATGACACCCATATTAAAAATAAAAAATTTATAATTTTTATATAAATTTTCGCAAAGAAGTTTACTTTATAATTGAATTTTAAATTATACAAATTTCATTTTTTTAAAGTAATATAAAATAAAAATTTAAGATTTATAAAATTTAAATCAAACATTTGGGCATTGAGATGCATAATGATCAGATTGTTTGCATTTATGATAAAGTCTAGCATGCTTTTGAACATCTGATTCTTATTATATAATATTGTAACTTCTTGCATTATATGTGTTTTCTTTTTTAGTGATTTCATTATAACTTCTCTTGGCTTGTAACAAATCCTTTATGTTGAGTACGTAACAAATCACTAATTTTCATATTCTCAATGCTATCTTATTAATCAAAAAAACTTTTTTTGTTTTTTTAATAAAAACTTTAAATTGATTGAATTTGTCTACTTTACCAACATATATTGCATAATCAAATGCCTTTTTAGTATAATCTATACCAAATCCATATTTTTGTTTAGGATCTTGCACTTGCATAATATCAGACATTTTTCTAATTCTTTAAAGTTGTGAAAATAATATTAACTTAATAAAATCTATTCTGATGTATCTTATTTATTAGGTTCATCCTTTTCAATTTGATATAATAGTATTAATGTATAATCATAATGATTAAGATTAAATTTTCTATTATTATATCATCATTGTGAAATAAGTGTAATATGAAAGCTAGCATAAATTGAATAAAACATTATATGCAAAATATCTGCATAATATATTATGATTAATAGCTATAAATAAAAAATCATCATCAAGTAAAATCACATATTATAAAGTTAATTAATTGTTGATTATAATACCTTATTATCTTTCATATTTCTAAGATATATTTTCTAATAAAGAAACAATTAAAGATTGTAGTTAATTATACTCATTATCTTTACCTAAACTTTCCTGATAAAATTGTCTCTTAGATATAAAAATAAAATATTAATAAATGTAATTTATCTATCCATAAATAAATGCAATAAATTTTTATTAAAAATTCCTATTAATTTAAATTATGCTAAAAACTTCCTAATCATAAAATTTACAATCCTTACTAATTTAAACCTATTCTAACCTTACTAATATAAACCTAATCCTAAAATTTTCTAATAACTAAACCTAACTTTATTTATTTGTATCTTTAATAAAGATAACTAATTATTAACAAATATCATATTATAACAAAATAGTTGAAATATCTGAGCTTATTATTTTTAAATAATTTGTGATTTAAATAATCTTATAAAAACTGATCTAGATTTAGAAAATATTCATTCATGATAGTTAGTAAACTTACTATTAGAATTTTATTTTTAAATTTAATTAATGTTATTCTTTTGATTGATAATTATCAAAATCAGCATAAACTTCTTTAATAATATCAGGTAAATGTAAAATACAAGAGATTATTCCTTTAATTATTTTATTAGATACTTTAGCAAATTATAATTTTGAATTCTTATAATAAAGTTGCAATTAGTAATATAACGCTAGTCAAAATATTTTATTTAACGCTAATATCTTTAGTTAACATTTAGCTGATTCGATCATGTGATTCAGCAAAAATTTAGCTTGAATTATAAAAATCGATAGGCATTTATTATATTATATATACAGTGAACTCTTGATATAACAAATTCTAGAATCTGAATATCAACTTCGTTATAAGCTTATAATGAATTTTTTAAAGAATTTAATTGGCTAGTTCACTATAGTAAGATAATTTTAATATATTTGATTTAAAAATTCGCTATATCAAGGGTTTACTATATCAAGGTTTGACTGTAATTTAGTATTATTTTAGCACTAAGACCATTTAGCAAACATTCAGCTGATTTAGGCATATTATTTGGCAAAAATTTAGCTTAAATTACAAAAATCAATAATTATTTATTACACTATATATAATTTAGCTTTGTTTCAACACTAAGATTTTTTAGTAAATATTCAGCTAATTTAATTGATTTAATTATATTATTTGGCAAAAATTCAGCTCAAGTTTAAAATTCAGTACAAAAATTATAATAAATCTACTGTTATTTATTACATTACATATAATTTAATATTATTTTAGCATTATAACCTTTCAGAAAATATTCAGATGATTCAATACGATCAAATTTCAGTTATACTTTAAAATTTGACATGAAAATTATAATAAATTAACTGTTGTTTGTTATATTATATATAATTTAGCATTATATTATTCCAGTTTTAGTTTATTATTAAAAATTTATATTACAAAATAAAAGTTAATTTATGATTTATCAGATTTATGGCTAAATATTTAACAGTATTTAGAAAAGTAGAAATTTTATATTTTACTGATACAAATCGACTAAGAATATGTTGTATCAGAATAATACTATTATGATTATCAAGAAAAAATTCATTTTTTAATAATTTAATATTACAAGTTTTTTTATCATCATCAATACTAAAATAATATTGAACTTTAAATATTTCCGCTGACAAATACCACTGAATAAATAAAAATTATATTCTGCCGATCTATCCTCAAAATTGATTACAGTCAACCCTTTATATAGTCATCTCCTATATAATCACACTTCTTCTTTAATTACATTATAATTCTGCCTAATTTTTTTAAATAAGAAAATACTCCTTTTATAATCATAATAATATATAAAATATAATCATATCAATTTTTAATCCTATCTTATAATAAGTATAAGAAAATAACTTTCTATATAATTACATCAAATTATATCCCTTTATAAAATCACAGTAAATCATATCTATATTAATTTTATTATACAAATAGTATTTAAAATATCTAAAAATAAAAAGAATACAATTTCTGTTAATATTGCTTCATTTCTTATAAATAATTACCATTTAAATTCTTGTCAATATCTTATGAAACAATTACCATTCGAATCCTAAAAATTTTTTGACCATTTTTTCAAAAATTTTAAAAACTTTTAAAAATAATTTTTATTAAATAAACTAAATACAATCAATAAATAAAATACTTTTATAACCTCTAACACTATGTCTACTAACACTTTAGAATTTTATAGCAATATTTTCGCTAAAGATACAAAAATATTTTTACAACTTATTATTCATGTTACCTAGTGTTCTGCAAAAAATCTGTTTCAATCTGAATCTGATCCAGATCTGACATATTGGATTGAATCAGATTTATCAAATTCGAATCAGATTCAGATTCAGATTTTGATTTGATTTGATCTGTCAGATCTAGATCAAATTCAGATTTGGATTTGATTTAATTCGACAGATTCAAATTTTGATTCAGATTTGATCTGTCAGATTCAGATTTGGATTCAGATTCAATCCATCAGATTTGAAATAAAAATGCTACACTGAAGTCGAACGTAGCATTTATTATTAAAAAAATTTAATTTCTAATAATAAAATGCCGTCTGAAAGTTGAACACAGCATTTATTATTAAAAATTTAATTTTTAATAATAAAATGCCGCCTGAAAGTTGAATGCAGCATTTATTATTAAAAATTTAATTTTTGATAATAAAATGCCACCCGAAAGTTGGACACAGGATTTATTATTAAAAATTAATTTTTATTAATTTTTAATAACAAAATGTCGTCCCAAAAGTTAGAGGTAGCATTTATTAATAAAAAATTAATTTTTAATAATAAAATGTCATCTCAAAAGTCAGATGCGGCATTTATTAATAAAAAAATTAATTTTTATTAATTTTTTATATTAAAATGCCATCCCGAAAGTTAAGTGTGGCATTTATTATTAAAAAATTCATTTTTAATAATTTTTAATATTAAAATGTCGTCCCAAAAGTCGAACGTAGCATTTATTATTAAAAAATTTATTTTTAATAATTTTTAATATTAAAATGTCACCCCAAAAGTCAGAGGCGATATTTATTAATAAAAATTTAATTTTTTATTAATTTTTATAACAAAATACCATCCCAAAAGTCAGAGGCAGCATTTATTATTAAAAAAATTTAATTTTTAATAATAAAATGCTGCCCAAAAGTTGGAGGTGACATTTATTAATAAAAAATTGATTTTTAATAATTTTTAATAATTAAATGCCATCCCGAAAGTCAGAGGTGGCATTAATTATTAAAAAATTAATGTTTAATAATAAAATACTACCCTGAAAAGTCAGACATAGTATTTATTATTAAAAAATTCATTTTTAATAATTTTTAATATTAAAATGTCGTCCTAAAAGTCGAACGCAGCATTTATTATTAAAAAAATTTAATTTTAATAATAAAATGCTGATCTGAATGTCAGAGGCGAATTTTTGTTAAAAAAACAAAATTGTTATTTTTTTAACATTAAAACGCTGTTTCAAACGTCGGAGGCAAATTTTGTTAAAAAACAACAAAATTGTTGTTTTTAACATTAAAACGTCATTCTGAACATTGGAGGTAGGATTTTTGTTAAAAAAATAACAAAATTGTTGTTTTTTTAATATTAAAATGCCGTTCTGAACGTCAGAGGCAGATTTTTGTTAAAAAATTTTTTGATTCATCAGATACAGATATGGATTCAGATTTGTTAGATTCGGATACAAATACAGATTCAGATTTGTCAGATTCAGATACGGATTCTGATTTGGATTTGTCAAATTAAAATTGAATCAGATTCAGATTTTTCAGATTCAGATCAAATCTGATCTGATCTAATCTGTGCAGAACACTAATGTTATCGTACATCTCACTGAAAGAGACATGATAATAGCAAAATTTTTGGGTTTTCAAATACCAGAAATATTTGGCTTATCAGAAAACTCAACTTTGAATATAATAAAATTTTTCTGAAAAAATAAAATTTTATTGAAAAAATATACATGAAGTTAGTGCAAACGATTTTACAACTAAAAAAAACCAAAAAAATCATCAACAATTCTATTAATAATTTTTTGGATAATAAAGATATTATCTCTATTGTGGATATTGATTCTTTTATAATGGATACTATAGAAGATGATGATATAGATTTCTCTATTAATAATTATCACAAAGGATTTCCTTCCTCTTTTTTATATAACACAAATATTGATAATATTACTGATGCTAATATAATCATACCAATAATCATAAATGATACTTTTTCGTATCAATCAAAAAAACAAATGTATAAATAGAAAAAAATTGCATCTAATATTTTAACAATTACATTTACTATTTAACAAACAAATACCTTCATTACCCTTAATCATAATAATCATATAGAGGTTTGCTAGGAAAATGGGGTTCTGAGCATTTTTTATTAAAATTTTAATTTTTATTGCATTTTAATGTTTGATAATGTTAGATTAAAATACAATAAAAATTAAATTTTAATAAAAAATGCTCAGAGTTCCATTTTCCTAGCAAACCTCCCATATCTCAACAAATTACACGTCAAATTTAAACTTGATATGTAATAACACAAACTCACTTCTTAATTACACTAATCTTAATACAGATGCATTCATGCATAAACCTAATATGTTAATATATGATAACATTATACAT